CAGGGGAAAATGCCCATCTCCAGTCCTCCCTGGAAGGGGTTGGATTGCATAGTTTCCCAGATGCTACCTGAAGGTCAAGTCTCTAAACCGATTGCATTGTTTATGGAGGTACTGACTGCAATCCTCCATTTTGGGGCACCCTAACTACAGAGAGCACTACAAACAAAGACAGAGGCTCAGGTAATCACAATGATTTGAGAGACAATCAGGAACTCTGGCCAGGCTCATTGACAAGGTTCATCTCCCCCTTTATCTGATATGCAGAAATCAACACAGAGTCACAAGCAGACAGAAACGGAAGAAACAAGGAAATATGTTCCAAAGGAACAAGACAAATCTCCAGAAAACAATCTTAATGAAACAGAGATGAGTGTTATTTACCTAGTAGAATGGGGTGAGTGGGTGGATATGGATGTGTTGTGTGTGTGGATATCCTGGAGGGCATTATGCTAAGGAAAATGAGCTAGAAAAAGGCAAATACTGCATGGTATCATTCATATATAGAAACTAAACAGGAGTAGAATGGTGGATGCCAGGAGGAGGGAGATGGGGAGATAGGGAGTGGTGGTATGGTGACTAATGTTGATAATCCTGTATTGTATAATTGAAATTGTTTAAGATATTAGAACTTTTTAGTGTTTTCACCATCACCACCAACAACCAAAAAAGGTAAATATGTTAGGTAAATAAAAATTTGTGTTAAATCAATGGTGGGAATACTTTCACAATGTATGCATATATCAAATCATATTGTATACTTTAAATATATCACAATGTATTTTGTCAACTACACCTTGATAAAATATGTTGAATTTATTATCAGAGAAAAGCATGGGGGATCAAAGTTTGGTGGGGTTTTGGGGGGGATTTTTTTTGGCATATGTATAGCCAATTACTGCAATGCTATTTGTTTAAAAAATTATCTTTTCTCCACTGCCTGGCCTTATTGAAAATTAATTAATCACATATGTGTGGGTCTATTTTCGGACTCTATTCTGTTCCATTGATCTATATTTATCCTGATACCAATGCCTTGGTTATTGTAACTTCAGAATAAGTCTTGAAATCAGGTAGTTTAAGTCTACCAACTTTGTTCTTTTACAAAGTTGTTTCAAAAAGTCTAGATCCTTTACATTTCCATAAAATTTTAGAATCTGTTTATCAATTTATTTTTTTTAAAGTAGTCTATTGGAGTGTTGACTGGGATTCCACTTGTCAATTTGAGAATTGACATCTCAACAATAGTGAGTCTTCTGGCCCATTCACATGGTATCTCTATTTATATGTCTTTTTCCCCCTTCTTTTATCATTAGTATGTAATTTTAGTGAAAATACCATATACATTATTATTAGACTTATGCCTAACTATTTCATGTGTCACATGTATTGTGTTGGCTCTGACTCCTGGAGGTTATATGAATTAGTGGTGTCCACAATGTTCTGTCATCAACAGCCATGCTCAGCTCCTGTAGACTCATACCTATGGCTTCTTTTACGGAGTTAATACATTTTATATTTGGTCTTCAAAATAAATTTCCTATTTTGTGCTATTATAATTGGCATTTTCTTAATTTCAATTTCTGATTTTGCACAGAAATACAGTGTATTTTAGGGTATTGATTTTATATGCTACCATCTTACCAGACTTATTATTAATTCAAGTAGCTTTTTGGTAGATTCCATCAGATTCCATCAAACTGTCTACACTGACAAGCATGTCATCTGTGAATAAAGACAGTTTTACCTCCTCCTTTACAATTGATCTGTCTTTCCTTTTCCCCTCTTGCTTTTTGCATTGGCTAGAAACTAGGTCAGGACTGAATATAAGAATAGTGGAAATATTTGTATTGTTCCTTATCCTAGAGAAAACACATTCAGTATTTGACCATTATGAGATCAGCCAAAGATTTTTCTTAGATGCCCTTTAGCCAGTTGAGAACAATCCCTTCTATGCCTAGTTTAGTAAAAATTTTTTATCAGGAGTTGAATTTCTATTTTTAAAACCCCTTTTTATGCATATATCGAGATGATTATATTATTGTTAGTTAATAAATAAATTACATTAATTGATTTTACATGTTAAACCAGCACTGCATTTCTTGGCTAAACTCTATTTAGTGATGATGTACTATACTTTTCATAAATTGTTAGATTTGATTTGCTTAATTTTTTTTAGAATATTTGCATCCATGTTCTTGAGAAGTAATGATTTATAATTTTCTTTCCTTATAATCTCTCTGTCTGGTTTTGGAATAAGTATAATAGTACTATCAATGAACAAGTTAGAAACTAATCTCTTTTCTTACATTTTCTGGAAGAATTTGTTTAAAATTGCAATATTTCATCCTTAAATGTTTGGTAGAAATCATTAGTTAAGCCAGAAGGGCCTGGAGTTTTCTTTGTAGAGAAAATTTTAACTGCAAATTTAATTTCTTTAACAAGTATAGGGTGATCCGAGTTATCTACTTCTGGAGTGAGCTTTGGCAGTTTGTGTCCTACAAGGAATTTGTCCATATCATTTAAGATGTTGAATTTATTCCTATAAAGTTATCCATTTGATATTTGTCGACATTGTAGTCACATCATTTCTTTTATTCTTGAGATAGGTAATCTATGTCTTTTTCTCTTTTTTTCTTAATTATTAGGATGAGAGACTTATTAATTTTATTGGTCTTCTCAAAGAACCAAGTATTGCTTTCATTTATTTTTCTCTCTTGTCTTTCTGTTTCCTATTACAATGGAATCCCACTGTGATCTTTATTTTTTTTTCTTCTGCTTACTTTGGGCTTAAAGTTGCTCTTCTTTTTTCTTAAGTGGTCGCATTTAATTTTGATGTGTTCTATTTTCATTTTTATTCAATCCAAAATAATTTCTAATTTCACTTTTTATTTCTTCTTTGACCCATAAATTATTTAGAAACCTGTTATTTCATTTCCACATATTTGGGGATTTTCCCGATAATTTTCTAAATGTACTGAGGTTGTGGCCCAGAATATGGTCTATTTTGGTAAATGTCCCTGTGCACTCAAAAAGAATGTTATTCTCTTGTTTTGGGGGGAGAGTATTCTGTAAATATCAACTAAGTCAATTGGTTGACAATATTTTTCAAGTCTTTAGTATTCTTGTTGACAATATCAGTGGGCTGAGGCAATCTTAGCACTCACATTTCGCATTTCTCAGGGATCATCATCCATCTTTGCCTGATGTGTTTCTCATATATTTCATCTTATTTTCTACTGATTTCACATGGGATGGTAAATGCAGCCACTGTTACTTCATCTTGCTTGGAAGCAGAAGTTGAAAAAGTATATTTATTTGTTATAGCTTCCAATTTTGTTTTTTAAATTGCATATATAACTGTAGGTATTTTGTTATCAACAAAGAGATATACTATCTCTGGGTATGAAAATAATTTCTTATAGGAAGACAGAATTCAATACTGTGCAAGGAGCCCACTATAAAATTCTTTAACACTCCTCCCAACCACTTCATTCTTTAATGAAACTGTGAGAAAAAATATTCATTCAACATTTACCATCTTCTTAGGCTAAGCTTTTTACTAAAGATTGGCAAGAACAAAGCCAGATAAAGGGCCTCCTCCCCTGGAGCCCTATTCTTTGAGTTCAGGAGAAGAAAAGAATTGAGAGGAGTTTTAACCATTTCCTATCAGCAAGATATTTCCTTATAGTCTTACAGTATTCTCTCATGAAGGAGAAAGTAAAGGAGCTTTCCACATTTAATATATTATTAGCCATGTAACTTAAAACTTGCTCACATATATTTATAATAAAAAAGAAAACTTTTAATTTGATATACGAAAGTGTGAGTTAGGAAATTTTTAAGGCAAGCAAATGACGGTGAAAACTCCAGTATCTCTCCATATTTTTAAGACTTAGGATGTGAACAAAAGAGAGAAAGAAAAACCCATCTCACCTAGCTAAGGAAGCATGTAAGCAAAGGGTATCAACTCTTTCTTTCAGGAGAGTAGAATTTCAAAGCCTTATAATTTGGTAGGGAGGAGTAAGGGGAGAGGGGTCAACTGATACCACTGAAGTTAGTTGAAGATTTGGAAAACCATAGATGAGAAAATCTATTTTCCACTATTTTTCCTGGTAGTCATTTCTTCTTCTCTTTCTCTTTATCATGAAGTTTCATTTTTTCATTAAGATATTATAAGTAACTTGCATAATAAATAAGATGATGTGAGCTCATGAGCCTATTTCTTAATTTTATACATACAACTTTTGCTGATATTTCAATTTAATACTTGGACTTACAATGATCAGATACATTACTAATACTTACAATGAGATTGTTCTTATGAAAAATGTTCTATTAATTTTGAGAAACATAAGTTTAAAACTTTGTAATATCATTTGGATGTGTCCTAGAGGTTAATGATTTTTCATTTTCTTAAGAATAAACAAGGACATTGTCAATGAGCAGTATGTCCAGAATCATAAATGGTACCAGTAACACGAATAACTTTAGGGAGGGCGTTCTTGCTCTCGGTGATAGGGCAGCAGGAGCAGCTGCGCTGTGTTTGAAACAGGAGCACAGGGTATCAAAGGACACAAGCGTCATGCTTGATTTGCTTAGAAAACATCTCACTTGTTTTGAGCTCCATTCGAAAATGAACTCAACATATTAAACCCAAATCTAAGTCACTTGAAATTCCTTACATCCATATCTCATCCCTAATCTAGTAGAAAAGAAAAAATTTCAATCAGAATAAATATATGCTAAGAATTTATGTGAATTACTATGTAAAATCAATATAAACCTGAGAGCAGGATATGTGACCTATGTCCAACAATATTAAACCTCTGAAGTTTAGAGGACTCCTCCATAGTGGTGTACCAATATGTTTTGTATGTAGGATGCATGACTAAATTATTTTAGACAAAATGGACTCACATTTTTGGGCAAATCCCAAGGCTGAAGATTAGAAAATTAAATTAAAAATTTGGGTGAGTCACTTAAATATTTTTGGAGTTCACCCTCTGGACCTTAATAAACTTATCAACATATTAAAAGTGCTCAATTGTAAAGCAGTCTTCAAAGTTTATAATATCATCTTAGAATCCTTTCTAACTCTGAGAGGATAAATTACATGCTAGTGTCTGGCATATGGTAGGCACTTAGTAAAAGCTGAACATACTGAGCATTCAGTGAATGAGTACCCACCCTTTAATAACAAGGACTATACCTCTCAGACTCCAGCCCTTTACAGTTACTAGTTAGATAATATTCATATCATTGTTATATGGAATCTAAGTAATTGAAGATTTTCTAGAAGTTGACAAAAGGTCACATTAAAAACTTTATTTCATAACCCCTTCTTATTACTTTTAAAATAACAAAATCTATATAGAGTTCCAAAAATAAAGTTATATATTTCAGGTAGACATTCCATACTCATTTGCACCTTCACTTCTTTACAAAATATTATTGAGCTTCTATTAAACATTAGACATTATACTATGTCCTGTGAATACAGAGTAAAAAGGTGGTTCTTACAAGCAAGTGTTCACCATTGACTGAGGAGATACAAATCTAAAGTAATAATTACAATACCAGTAGGAAACATGCCAGAAAAAAAACACATGTTGCAGATTCAAAGAGGAAGGAATAATTAAGTCCAGACAGGATAATAAAATATTTTATTAAATAAGAGTAGAAAAGAGTGGAGGAGATACCTGAGTTGAGACTTTAAAAATCAATATAATTCTGTTCATGAAAATAGATGTATATTGGAAAAATTATGCAATATTATAAAAATTATCTGCATCTAAAATTCCATGTTATCTTAAAAAAGAGGTAGAAGGAAAAGATAAGAGAGAGCAAACGTGTATTAAACACCATCCCTCAAATAAGGACACTCAAATTTGAAAATGAGCTGAATAGAGATTAATTATAACTTTGGATAATTTAAAGGAAACCACTTTTAAAAATTATACTTTCCAAAAGAGCAGAGAACATATAGGCAAATAAAACATAAATAGATGAATAAAAATGTATAAAGAACAACAAGGAGGGAAGTATAAAAGAATTGAAAGGAAAGGAAAATATGACAGGAATACATGCCAGTTATTTTTTTTTTTAATTTGCAGGCATACGATGGATAATCAGTTCATGTTAAAATACTTTTGAATTGAATAAAAAAATTCAACTAGATACTATTTACAAGGAACACACCTTTAAAAAATATCATAGACATCTGAAAAGAATAAACATAAAAATGAGGCAAATGCAGAATAATTTTAGGTGTTCCAAAATTAACACCAGAAATAATAGAGATAAAAATCAGATAAATCATTTAGAAGAGTGATATTTTAACATGGTAAAGGGTAATTTTACAATATATAAAGATAAATTACATATGCTTTTGTGCTCTAATTTATTTCTCATTATATATTTTAAATACAATAAATTGAGAAAACTTACTATTGATAATTATTCTTGAACAGAACAAAATTCAGAAGTATTAAATTTATCTTTCAAAAAGCAATAGTAAAATCAACATTTATTTTAAAAATTCAAATCTTTTTTTAAGTAGAAAAAAAGTTTTTTCAGGGAAAAAGAAGTCATTGCATTTAGAGAGAGCTAATTAAAATTTGAAAGGTAAGCCTCCAATAGTCAAAAACAATCATGAACATAGAGAACAATATGAGAGCCAGACTGTACTCTATTGCTCATGGAAAATTTGTAAAAAAAGTAACAGTGTGCTGGAACACAAAGCTCAATAAAAATGGGACCAAAGCAATAATTAAAAATATAATAACCTTTTTCTAAATTGAAAAGAACTCCATATGTACATTGAGAGGTCACAGATTTTACAGATTACACCATTGATAAAAGCACTCATACTTTCATATATTTCCAAGTTTTTGGAATGCAAGGACATAAAAAATATTTCAACTATCTCCCAGCTGGACTGCAAATCATCTTTGCCATTTCTAACACAGGGCCTTACACATAGGTGGCTAATTAGTTAAATTAATACTCAATAATTATGTATTTTATGATTTTAAATTATTGAATATTTGACATGCCACAACAGGAAAAAAATGAGATAATTGAGATAATATTTGTCAATATACTTTTAGATTATCCAATGATAAGGGTTTTATAAAATCAGTATGCTATAATTTTTATTATTCCATGATCTTAATCAAAAATTCAAAACTGCCTCTGACTTCTATAGAATTACCTTGCTTTGGAAGTACTTATCTCTACTTAGCAAACTAACACCTTTATTATTTTTGTACTAATTTTACAAACCTGAATATTATAGTAGTGCTATAGACTAAATGTTTGTATGACCCACAAATTCTTATGTTGAAATCCAATCCCCAATGTGATAGTATTTTGAGGCGGGATCTTTGGGATGTGATTAGGTCATGAGGACACAGCCCTTATGAATGTAACTAGTGCCCTTATTAAAGAGACCCAAAAACAGCTCTCTCACCCCTTCTGCCATGTGAGGACAAAGACAAAAGACTGCTGTCTATGAACCAGGAAGCAGGCCCTCACCAGACACCAAAACTGCCAGGGTCTTGATCTTGAACCTCCCAGCTTTCAGAAAGTCAGAAATAAATGTTTGTTATGTAAGCACTCAGTATTTTTGTTATAGTAGCCCAAATAGACTAAGACAATTTTATAAAATACTAGAGGCCCAGTACCGAATTCGTGTGTAAGCACTCAGTATTTTTGTTATAGTAGCCCAAATAGACTAATACAATTTTATAAAATACTAGAGGCCCAGTGCACGAATTCGTGTATGGGTGGGGTCTAGCCGGCCAGCCCAGATAGGGGCCAATCAGGCCAGGCCAGCTGGGGGGAGGGGCCACAGGTGGTTGGCTGGCCAGCCCCGCCCCCTGGTCAAACTCCCGGTCAAGGGGCCAATTTGTATATTAACCTTTTATTATATAGGATTTGCCTCACCTATCTTAAATGTTTAATATCTTGAATTTTAAGTGACATGAAACTTAATTTTATATTTCCACAAATTTTATAGATCTCTCCCATCACGATTTTTTCTATTTCCATCACATACACAGAGAAAGGTAACACTTTAAAATATTTATGCTATTTCATTAAGTATTTTGTTGTGAAGATACAATTTCAATAGAACTTTGAGCATATTTCTTTGCTATAAAGTTATCTTTCTACATCTTTAGTACATCTCAACAGAAACTTTGCAGGCCAGAAGGGAGTGGCAAGAAATATTCAAAGTGATGAATAGCAAGAACCTACAACCAAGATTACTTTATCCAGCAAAGCTATCATTCAGAATTGAAGGTCAGATAAAGAGCTTCACAGATAAGGAAAAGCTAAAGGAGTTCATCACCACTAAACCAGTATTATATGAAATGCTGAAAGGTATCCTTTAAGAGGAGGAAGAAGAAAAAGGTAAAGATACAAATTGTGAACAACAAACATGCATCTATCAACAAGTGAATCTAAGAATCAAGTGAATAAATAATCTGATGTACAGAATGAACTGGTGATTATAATGAATCAGGGACATAGAAAGGGAATGGACTGACTATTCTTGGGGGGGAAAGGGGAATGGGAGATGCGGGAAGAGACTGGACAAAAATCGTGCACCTATGGATGAGGACAGTGGGTGGGGAGTGAGGGCGGAGGGTGGGGTGGGAACTGGGAGGAGGGGAGTTATGGGGGGGAAAAAAAGAGGAACAAATGTAACCTGAACAATAAAGATTTAATTAAAAAAAAATGTTTAATATCTTGAATTTTAAGTGACATAAAACTTAATTTTATATTTCCACAAATGTTATAGAGCTCTCCCATCACGATTTTTTCTATTTCCATAACATACACAGAGAAAGGTAATACTTTAAAATATTTATGTTATTTCATTAAGTATTTTGTTGTGAAGATACAATTTCAATAGAACTTTGAGCATATTTCTTTGCTATAAAGTTATCTTTCTACATCTTTAGTACATCTTAAAGGGATATTCTCATGTTCAAATTACTATTGACTTTATCCTTAACCACAGATTGTACATAAAATTCTTGCATAAATTTATGTAGAATAACAGAGACTTGCTCCCACAAATTGTATTAATTGCCAGGTGAGCCCTATGTTTATTTTTTTAAAAATATATTTTGTTTTTTTTACAGAGAGGAAGGGAGAGGGATAGAGAGTTAGAAACATTGATGAGAGAGAAACATCAATCAGCTGCCTCCTGCAGACCCCTACTGGGGATGTGCCCACAACCAAGGTACATGCCCTTGACTGGAATCGAACCTGGGACCCTTCAGTCCGCAGGCCGACGCTCTACCCACTGAGCCAAACCCATCAGGGCAAGCCATATGTTTAAATAAACATGTATATCTTGGGACATTGTCCCAAATTCAGAATAACCTTATCTGTGTAAAATTGTAGGAGTACGCACTCTTTATCAACAAATGTCCCTTCATAGGATCCTGCAAAGAGCTTATCCCTGATGATACTGGAAATAACTTCTTTGGAGGGAGGGGGGGAGGTGTGAGGGAGGAAATAAAATACTGAAGAAGAGAAAAAACAGCAAAGTAGTAGTTTGCCTTTGAAATTTGGATCCCAAGTCATTCTGGGAGTTAACAGAAAAACCAAAACCTTTATCAGTTCACAGTACACAGCAAGTAGTAGTTAGTGTAGTCTATTGGTCAGTGTACTATTCAGAGCCCTCAGTGAATAATAATGGCTAACAACTGTAGCTGGGTCTCCCTACTGAAGACTTTCAGTATCATTCAGGAGAGCCCTTAAGGAGAATCTGAACTTAGTGACCATAACGACCAGGCATTCCTTAGGTATAGGTGCTATTCAAAAGTTTGACTTATAGGCATTTATGTCTGTTTAGTATAGTCTTAAATATACTAAATGTCCTTGACTGAAATTGAATCAGAATTTTCATACTGTATTTTCAATCAACTTCCTCTGAACTTTGTTGTGAAGAATTTCTTTTAAAATTCAAAGTCCAAAAAAGTTTCCTTCTCCTAAGCCATGGTTTGCTTCCTCTGGTCTGATAATGAAAATTAACTAACTGACCAAGGCTCCCTTTTCCCTCAGAACCAAATCTGAGGCTGGATAACAGTAACTACAGGCTAGTCTCCTGCATCTATCTTTTATGCCCTGCATTTGACTTTCTGCATCTGCTTATGGTTCCCTTCTTATTTTCTACATCTACTTTATCATTATTATAAACGCATGTTTCCATTGAAAGATGTTTCAAATCCTTTGTGGATCGTGGTGGTGAATAAGTAAGGAACTAAATGAGTACTTATGGTCTGTCTCTTTAATACCTTGATCCACTTAATTTCTCTATCCTCTGTCCTGTCCCAAGGCATCCCCTCATCAGTAAATGGCTCCATTGTCTGCCCAGATCTCAGGCCAGAAATCTAGGAATCACCTATAATTTTTCTCTTTTCATCACCCTTCACACAATACATCAGTAAATTCTACTGGCTCTTCCTCTTAAATACATCCTATTTAATTTTCCCCCCTCCATCTCTATTACTTCTGTCTTGGAATACTTTTGTGCCATTTCTCTTCTGGATTACTACAAGAGCTTACTAAGAATTCTTCATTCTTTCCCTTTTATTTGACTACATTTGTTTTGTTAAGACTTTATATTTTTAGAGAAGTTTTAGGTTTACAAAAATATTGCGAGGAAGGTACAGAGATATCCCATATATCCCCTACTTCCACATATGAATTCCCTCTCCAATTATCAGCATTTCCTTCCAGAGTGGTACATTTGTTACAATCAATGAATCTGCACTAACACATCATTGTCATACGAAGCCCATAGTGTACAGTAGGGCTCACACTTGGTGTTGTACATTCTATGGGTTTGAAATGTGTAATGAATGACATGCATCCACTATTATAATATCAAACAGAGTATTTTCACGGCCTAAAAATCCTCTATGTCTCACCTATTCATTCCTCCCTCAACTCCCAACTCCTGGCAACCACTGATCTTTTTACTTCTCCATAGTATTGCCTTTTCCAAAATGTCATGTAGTGGAATCATACAGTATGTAGCCTTTTCAGATTGACTTCTTTCACTTAATATAATACATTTAAGGTAGCTACATGTCTCTTCATGGCTTGAGAGTTTATTTCTTTTTAACACTGAATAATATTCCATTGTTTAGATGTACCACAGTTTATCCATTCACCTACTGAAAGGTGTCTTAGTTGCTTCCAAGTTTTGGCAATTACGAATAAACATCAGTGTGCAGTTTTTTTTGTGGACATAAGTTTTCAGCTTTTCTGAATAAATAACAAGGAGTAGGATTGCTCAATACTGTAGTGAGAGTATGTTTAGTTTTACAAGAACCTGCCAAACTGTCTTCCAAAAGAGCTGTACCATTTTGCAGTCCCACCAGTAATGAGAGTCCCTGTTGCTCTACATGCACTTACTTTATTAATAGATTAATCTTTTAAAATATAAAACAGGTATTTCTCTCTGTTGTTTAGCAACCTTTTGTTGGGGTTCAGTACACTTTAAATAAATACAAAGCTTCTTTTTCTGGCCAACAATGTCCACAGAATCTAGCCACTGCCTATGTCTGTTCCTTCAAGCGCAATGACCCAAGCATGCAGGCCCTCCTTCCTCAGACATGCCAACCTTGTTCTCATTTTCCCATTTGTTGTTGCCTCTTATAGAGAGGCATAGGACAGGAGTTGGCTGAAGGCACCTGCCCCTGCCTTGACTTTTCCAAACAAGTCTGAGCCCCTTGGTGACTACTTAGACATGTCCTTGATTAAAGGACACATGTGCTTTCTTAAGGATACTTACCCTGCTGATAGTATCTAATAGTTAATTTGAGTTCAAGCTGTTGTTACAATAAACGCCTAAGGAGACAGGCAATAGGGGGTTTTTGGCTCCTTATGCCAACTAGCCCCTTAGCCTCTCTTTCACAGAAACATGTGTCAGAGTAATCATTCATCCATCGTTCAGGGTCTGCTGGTCAGTTCTGGCAAAGTGGTGCCCCATGTGAGGAGCTAGGAACTGCAATGAGATGCCAGGGAATCCTGGAAAACAAAAAGTAAGAAAATGAAAGTAACTGCACTGTAAGTCACTGGAGCCCGCTTGGGATTTCCAAGTTTGAGGGAATTGTTTCTCAGCTAAGAAATTCACTATCTCTGTTATGCTTCTTAAGAATGTAAGTATATTTTCCATTGGAAAAAGAAGCCTTTCCAGGTAAGGAATGAAGGTTACTTTCCTGAGAGATGGCATGAAAGAAACCTCAAGACACCTGTAGGGACCTCAACTTAAGAAATGCACCCCAATTCAAATTGTAGGTATTGCAGGCAGAGCCTGGTGGCAACTGCGTAACTTGGCTTCTTGGCCCTAGAGTAAACTTTCTCATGAGATTCCAGCAAAGCATATCTTTAAAAAATAGCCTATGTAATCAACTGTTATTCTTGTTATGTTCATGCAAACAATCAGGCCAATTTATAACTAGATTTAATAAAGTAAGTAAATTAGTCTTTAATAAAAAATAAAGGTGATTTTAGGAAGAATTATTATTTCAACAGAAAATTATCAAAAACTGTTCTAGCTTTTGCCCAATTATACTAAATTTTATAACACAGTTTGTCTCCACCAGATTACAAGCCCACTTACACCTGTGGAATACCACCTCAAGGCACCATTCCCACCTCCTTCTGTGCTCAGGCCTCATCGTCCCTCTGACAGAGAGCAAGGACTTCTTGGCTCTGAGAGAAACCTTTGACTTGTCTCAGCACAAAGCAGCTACAAAGAAACCTGGCGTCCCCTTTCCATGAAAGAATTCAGAGCCAAGATCCTTGAGGGGGATATACTAGTAGTAGGCAGTTAGACATGAGCAGAGCAAGGACGATAGGCCAACTAGAGGAGAGATGGACTCTGAGACATACTTCTCACCACTCTAACTACTCTGAAGCTAGGAATAGAGGAACCTGTGTAAAACTAACCTTTGATCACAACTTATTAGAAGGAATTCATAGTTTTCCTGTAATAGAAGGTATAGAGATAAAGGAAAAAGAAAGTGAAGTACACAAACTGAAAGGGTATGTGTAAGTTACAAAAGGTATATATAAGTTACAGAAAGTATATATAAATTGTAAAAGGTATGTATAAGTTATAGAGGGTCTGTATAAGTAAGGAAGAACTAGAGTTGAGGAAGTAAAAATTGTGAGAAGGAATATAAAGAAAGGAATATAACAGGAAGAAAGAAAATTAGAGTAGGAATACTTAAGAATAATTATAAAAGTTATAAAAATGCTTATAAAAGTCATAGAAGGTTTATTAAAAATCTTAAAAGAAATTATAAATATACTGAGTAATAAATCTGATAAATAGATCATCTAAATTAATCTAAAAAGTAATCATATTATTTTAAATCTTAGAACACATATACTTATATGTGAATAGGGGTTTAAGTTTTTCTTAAAGTTTTCTTTTCAAGGCCTGTGTGAAGTAATTAGGGAAGTGGGTCAGACTGACCCACCAGGAGTCAAAACATCATCTTATCGCCTAACAATAACTGATGTCTACAGACCCCAGGCCTGCACATAGCTACGTTCCTCACCCCCTTCCCCTTTATAATCCTATCCTCTACACCTTGCTAGAAGGCAAGATTTAATGCTTGTAAGCACCCTGTCTTCTTAATTAGACTAACCATTGCTGTCATTGTAATTCTCTTTGTTTTTCTTATAGTCTACAAAATCAGAACTCGAGCAGTGAATGCTCTTCGTGAACCCCGCCATTCCAAAGCAGAAAGTTCGCCACCTCCCTCTGTCTTCTACAGCCAGCAAAACAAAAAGGGGGGAGATGTAAGGAGGCATAGGACAGGAATTGGCTGAAGGCACCTGCCCTGCCTTGACTTTTCCAAACAAGTCTGAGCCCCTGGGTGTTAACTTAGACATGTCCTTGCTTAAAGGACACATGTGTTTTCTCAAGGATACTTACCCTGCTGATAGTGTCTAATAGTTAATTTGAGTTCAAGCTGTTGTTACAATAAAAGCCTAAGGAGGCAAGCAATCGGGGCGTTTTTGGCTACTTATGCCAACTAGCCCCTTAGCCTCTCTTTCACAGAAACATGTGTCAGAGTAATCATTCATCCATCGTTCAGGGTCTGCTGGTCAGCCCCGACAGCGTCTAGCCAGAGCACTGTGCCCCAGATTGTCTTGTGGCTGCCTTCCTCCTCTTTTCAGTCTTACCAGCCCATTTCCAGTTATGTCTTCTCAGCATGTTTCCCCTCACTGCCACTCCCACCAGCACCAACATCAAACTAACATTGCCAACTCCCATTACTTGCCCACTCTTTCCTCAGTTTAATTGTCTTCATTATACTTATCCCCATCTCTGTCTTATTCTATTTGCTTATTACTTATTTATCTTCTGCCTTCCAATATGAGTTTCTTGAAAATGAGGGCACTGTCTTTCACGTGTATGACTTTCACTTCCATATCCAAGCGCACACATACCAGGTGCTCAATAAATATTCATTGAATTACTGAATATTTAATGTTTTTAAATGTAAAGCTCAACTATTTGAATTAGACCAGTGAGAAATAATAAAGACTAGTAAAACACACTGCCTTCTAAAAGCTAAAATCTATTTGGAAGGACAAGGTCAATACCTACAACACAATTAAATAAAAAAAAACAAGGGCGACCTACAGAGGGCAAACACTTTGCCACTGTAAATGAGTATGGCAAGTTCAATAAACAATTGAGAAAGCAGCCTGTCTAAAACTTGTGGTGGACCAGGATTTGCTGCCCCTTGGAGGGTAGGCTGACAAGTGTGGAGGTGAGTCGTTAGGCCGCCTGTCCTATAGAAGAGGCAGACAGATTACACCCATTAAAAACCTGACTCTGCCTTCTATTTACTGGATTAATTTCTCTGGTTCTTATTTTTCTTACTTATAAAACAGGAATAATGATAATATCTAATTCATTCAGTCATGTTTTGAGAGCATTAATCAGGCATTAATCTAGAAATAATTTAGTTTTGACTTAAAAAGACAAAGGCCCTATTCTCATTAAGATTCCTTCCTAAGAGGATATTATAATAATAAACATATGTGCTTATTATGTGAGATAAGGCATGAAAATGTTTAGCATAGTGCCTGGTACCAAATAACCACTCAAAAATTTAGTTATTATAATTTTATTAGGTGTTAGGAAACATTGTAGGCGTTGGAGCAGAAAAAAAACAGTGTTTTAGAAAGAATAACCTATTAAAGAAATAGAAATGATTAGAAAGGATTGAGATTAGAGGTAGGGAAATAAATTAAAATTTTGCAATTTATATGGTGTCCTATCATGCTACCAGATTAAGTATAATTACAAAACCATATTCTTGATTTTACTAGGATTGTTATAACCTCCTTTAGGGTAAATCAGTTGCCTTGCTCTTGCCAACAATGGATTGTGGTAATGAGCTGTGTCTTGGTAGTATACTTAGAATAAAGAATAGATAATAAATATAGCAAAGATCATACTATATCTCAGCATACTCTTGATTTTTATCTACTTACTAATCACAGCTGTCTAATATTTTTCTCCCAACATTAAATAGTTTCTGATATCTTAGAGTTCAAATATTAATGAAGAAGAAAATATTCAAGCATATTATAGAAAGTGATGGACAATCTCATGTGAAAGTTCAAAGGAGGAACAAATGGCTGGGAGAGAAGACTTCATGAATGGGATATTCAAGAATGAGTAGGGAGTTTGCCCGTCATAAAAGGAAGAAGAAATAATAGCATTCTTTGCTGATAATAATGGTAACCACTAACATTTATTGAGGGCTTACTGTGTATCAGTCACTGTTCTACATGTTTTATATGGATTAACTGATGATCCTAATAATGAACCATAAAATGGCTACTATTGCTCTCCCTGTTTTGTAAATGAGTTATTAAGTAGCTTCCTATGGGCACATAGCTATGAAGCAATAAAAGATGTATTTGAACTCAAGGAACCTAATTCTAGAGTCTGGGCTCATACTCGCTTTGTTTTTTATAGCATGTACTATATTCCATTAACCTCATATCTAATTTGGTGTTCTTTACAAAAAAAAATGTTAAAAGGGAAAAATAAACAATTCTAAGTATAATCCCTATCTATCCAGCCACCTCCAATGATAGTGGTTCCCAAACACTGACTTGCCACATGTTGTGAGAGCAGAGGGTATAATCTCCTTACTTCCCTTTTGGTCGTGGGACAGAAACATAAAAGGCTTCTGGGCCGCAATCAATTAGATTTGGAACAAGATATCCATCCCTGGCAATCACCTGCTACTTCATCTAGCAAAGCCACCAAAAGTCTTGCTGACTTGAAAGAGCAAGGTCAGGCAAATAAATACTGGAAGAATTTGGGAGATGCCCGGTTTTAACAATGGTTCCTTTTCACATTGGTACAGAGCAGAAGTTATACATTCATAATCATTCACGGCAGTGTAGCCTGACTGCGAGTATCGGAATGTCAGAAGTGAGAAGGGGATTTAAGGCAAATTATGAATATGTTGGTTTTATCAGGAAAGTAAACCCTCTATCCATCAAGGAATACAAGCACCCTTTCAGATGAGTGGAATATACTTTCTATATTATTTTTTTTTAATGGTGCTTCTTTATCTATCTCAATTAAATAACCAATACATACATACATACATACATACATACATAAATAAATAAATAAATAAATAAACATGTAAAGATAAGAGAAAAATATTTACAGCTAAATCCAACTACAAAAACTTTCTTAATATTCCACACCTGGAATATAATCCAGTAATTAGTTTTTAGACTTATTCTAATGTGGCCATCTAATATTTAACTTGCTGACTTTAGACAAAAATAATCAACTAAATAAAATCCCCTAAAATGAACAAAACCCTGCCTATTTCCACACTTCCATTCACATGAGAAATATATCATTTTGTAATACACTGCCTGAATAGGCCACTTTATATGTTCATGCATGTGTTAAGACTGGCCGTATGGCATAGTGGTTACAAGGACAGATTCTTGAGGTACACCGCCTGCATTGACTCCCAGCTCTTCCATCGATGAGTCATGTGACTTTGCGTTAGTCACTCAGCCATCCTGTGCTTCAGTTTTTCCTTCTGTAAATTGCTGAAAGCATCTGCATGTGCCACATTGGAGTGTTGTGAAGATTAAATGAGTTAACATATGTAAAGTTATAGAACAGAGCCGGGCACACGGTGATTCTCAGTGAGTGTCTGCTATCACCTGCTAAGGTTGTTTTTACATATTATACCATTTGATTTTTGAATTAACCCAGATATTTCATAGGACAGATATAAGCAGTCCTGTGTTTCTTTATAAACTACACCCTTGTAGACTGTATTTTATGTTTATGTTTGTGTTACAATCCTGACTACACACATGCCCTGTATCCTGATTGTGAATTTATTAATTCCTTACAAGGCAATGCTAGCAAACAAAAAATACAAGAATAAGGAATTCAAATAGAAAACAGGTTCTGCCTGGCTACTCTTTTACAGTGGAGAAAATGTAGTCCCTATGATTCTAAATGTTTTGTTTATATACTGTCCATTTCTAACCAGATAAAATAACTTGATCACAAGTGTAAACATTTATTTATGTAAAGTTCCTATGTTTCATTTATTTGCATTACTTGAAATAGAAGTCAACCCACAAACACTGCTGGAGTCGCTGGGCGCCCTGGTCCCCTTCCCAGGCGCAGTGGTCAGCAGGGGCCCGGCTCTGAGCGCCTCTCAGGCTATGATAACAGCAGGACTCTTGCCGGGACTCGGCCTCTTCTGCTGCTTCCTCTGGTCTTGGAGTGCTGCCAGCACCCATTTCATCACCCTGCTTCAGAGCTAAAACCTCCAAGGAATTCCACACCACTTTTTGTTCTGACAAGGAAAATAATCCTATTTGTCATAGACAAATTGAAGAGTTTAGTAAGAACATAACCAAAATGTTGAGGGAACTTGTAAACATCTCCAAGAAAGCCCAGATAAAGACACTGGGTTGATTAGTGGGGAACAACGAGGGACCAGGTGTATCTGATAACTGGCTTGGAATATGTGAAAAGCTGAGACCGGGAAGAGGAATTAGACTTGCTCTTATACTGCTCCCACATACAGACCTGGGGCTGGGACTAAAATGAAAGGAGCTAGATTTGAACTTAAGAAACAGATGGACATACTGACCATCAGACAGCGAAGTAAGTTTTTTGTGTGGTTCTGAGATTCCTGTCCTAGAGCTGCACCAGCAAGGGCTGGACAGTAAGGTGTCAGAGGTGCTCAGGAGTGAGTTCCAAAACTGGCCGGAGAGAGTAGCTGTGCTGACCCGCCTTTCAAGTCTCAGAAGTGGAAATAGAAGACTACAAAACCCTGGACTGTAACTAAGGGGAAAAATGAATAAACTGGTGTTCACAACAATGGTTCCTATGGGACCAAAAGGAAGCTTTCCAATAATAGCAAGTTGTGTTTTTCACACATCTGAGGCTGAACATGTAATAGGCTATTCAATGTGCTGATATATGGTCGCGGTACTAAACATTTTACGTAGTCTTGTGGCTTAGACTGTGTCTCCCCAAAAGCTACGTTGACGTCCTGACCCTCAGTACCAGTTCCTATGACCTTATTTGGAAATGGGACCTTTGTAGTTATATTCAAGTTAATATGAGATCATACGGAATAGGATGGGTTCTAAATCCAATGACCAGTATCCTTAAAAGGAGAGAAAGATTTGAGACACCCAGATACCGAG